AGGTTGCACCTGATGATCCTTGATGTCCCTTCCTACCTCGTACTCTGATTTTGTGATTAGTCAAAAGGGGTAGCATTAGTAAGATGGTTTACAAAGTCATGTCATAGAACCATAGAATGGTTTTAGTTGGGAAGGACCTTAAGATCACCCCGTTCCAACTTTCTTTCACAGGCAGGGACACCTCCCTCTAGACCGTGTCACCCAAGGCTCTGTCCAAGCTGGCCTTGAACACTGCCAGGGATGGGGCAGCCTCAGCTTCTCTGGGCACCCTGTGCCTCAGAACCCTCACAGGGAAGAGCTTCTGCCTTACATCTGTGAGGAGTGAGCTCACCTTTAGAATGGGGACAAAGTCAGTGGAGTAAAGGTTTATTTACAGCGCTGGGTGCATGTCTTCATATCCTGCATGTACATTTGTGAGTACAGAGTCAAAGTTTCTTATAGTCAAGCCTTTTACATATTCATATGACTTTCAGGAAGATGGATCCCACCTCCCAATTGCTGATGCAATCTTCATTCTTTCTTCCATGCATATCCAGGAGGGTCTTTTTAAGAGCAAATTGATAATGGCCAATAGTCTTCTTTGACACAGACTTTTGGCCTACTTAACCCATGCATGTGCCTAAAGCCCTTATAACTTGTTCTGTTATTTCCAGACTAGATGTTGGTTCGATCAAGCGTGACTGCCATATATCCTATGTCTGGCTGTAAAAGTCCCTTGTTCCTGTTTGTTTCGCAGTTTCAGGAACTTGCATTCTTCGCATCTGCCGATGTGATTGTGCTTAAGCAGGATACAATACAAAAACAAAGATAAAGCAAGCTTTTGCTGAAGCAAACTATTTGTGTTGTTTATCACACAACCTGAACTTCCCCATTAAGTTTAAACTCATCACCCCCTGTCCTATTGATACCGTCCCTGATGAAGAGTCACAGAATCCCAAGGGTTGGAAGGGACCTTGAGAGATCATCTGGTCCAACCCCCCTGCAAGAGCAGGGTAACCTAGAGTACATCACACAGGAACTTGTCCAGGCGGGCCTTGAATATCTCCAATGTGGGAGACTCCACAACCCCCCTGGGCAACCTGTTCCAGTGCTCTGTCACTCTCACAGTAAAGAAGTTCTTCCTGATGTTAACGTGGAACCTTCTATGCTCCAGTTTACACCCATTGCCCCTTGTCCTAGCACTGGATATCACTGAAAAAAGCCTAGCTCCATCATCCTGACACCCACCCGTTACATATTTGTAAACACTGATGAGGTCACCCCTCAGTCTCCTCTTCTCCAAGCTGAAGAGACCCAGCTCCTTCAGCCTCTCCTCATAAGGGAGGTGTTCCACTCCCTTCATCATCTTTGTGGCTCTGCGCTGGACTCTTTCAAGCAGTTCCCTGTCCTTCTTGAACTGAGGGGCCCAGAACTGGATGCAATATTCCAGATGCGGCCTAACCAAGGCAGAATAGAGGGGGAGGAGAACCTCTCTTGACCTACTAACCACACCCTTTCTAATGCACCCCAGGATGCCATTTGCCTTCTTGGCCACAAGGGCACATTGCTGGCTCATGGTCATCCTCCTATCCACCAGGACCCCCAGGTCCCTTTCCCCTTCGCTACTTTCCAGCAGGTCAGTCCCCAGCCTGTACTGGTACATGGGGTTGTTCTTCCCCAGCTGCAAGACTCTACACTTGCCCCTGTTGAATTTCATCAAGTTTCTCCCCGCCCAACTCTCCAGCCTATCCAGGTCTCGCTGGATGGCAGCACAGCCTTCTGGTGTGTCAGCCACTCCTCCCAGTTTAGTGTCATCAGCGAACTTGCTGAGAGCACACTCAGTTCCCTCATCCAGGTCGTTGATGAAAATATTAAACAGCACTGGTCCCAGCACCGACCCCTGAGGCACTCCACTAGTCACAGACCTCCAGCTAGATTCTGCACCATTGACCACAACTCTCTGCCTTCTTCCTTCCAACCAGTTCTTGATCCGCCTCGCTACCTGATCGTCAAGCCCACACTTCCTTAGCTTATCTATGAGAATGCTGTGGGAGACAGTACTCTGGCATCCTTGTAGGCCCCTTTCTGATACTGGAAGGCTGCTATAAGGTCTCCACGCAGCTTCTATTCTCCAGGCTAAACAGCCCCAACTTTCTTAGCCTTTGGTAGTACAGGCTGTGCTCCTGCCTGTGATCATCCTCATAGACTCCTTTGGATCTGCTCCAGCAGCTCAATGTGCTTCTTATGTTGAGGACACCAGAACTGTACACAGTGCTCTAAGTGGGGTCTCATGAGAGCAGGTAGATGGACAGGATCACCTCCCTTGACCTGCTGGTCACACTGCTGGGGATACAGCCCAGGACACAGGTGGTTTCTGGGCTCAAGCGCACGCTGGAGCTGGCTAATATTCTGTTTCTCATTAGCCAGCACCCCCAAGTCCTTCTCCGCAGGGCTGCTCTGAATCTCTTCTCTGCCCAGCCTGTAGCTGTGCCTGGGATTGCGCCAACCCAGGTGTAGGACCTTGAACTTTGCTTTGTTGCCATTGGCCACCTCTCCAGCATGTCCATGCCCCTCTGGATCCTGTCCCTTCCCTCCAGCGTGTTGACCGCACCACACAGCTCAGTGTCATCAGCAAACTTCCTGAGGGTGCTCGGTCCCAATGTCCGTGTCACCAACAAAGATGTTGACACCACTTGTCACCAGTCTCCAGTTGGACATTGAGCCATTGACTGCAATTGTCTGTGTGCGACCGTATCTCAAACTTTAATGTAGGGCTCTAATGCTACTCAGTTTTCTTAAAGATTCCTTCATGGCCAGAAACCTACCAACTATCAAGCAGCATTGAGGCCATAGTGTAAAGCTAAAAGAGGCATGAACACACAGATTTTGGTTCACAGGCCAGCTCTTCAGCATGGATAAGCAAGCATCTGTTCTTAGCAGCTGTAACAGTAATAATACTTCCCCTGAAATAGTTGGCATGACTGCTGCCATGTGCTAATTAACAAGATGGATGGTGGGTTTAAGTCAGCTTGTGTTCATACTGTGCTGTTGTTAGGGAGCTTCTGCCTAATGCAGCGGAAGGTATATATTGATGTGACAAAAAGCTGCCCCGTTCATCACCCTGTTGAAGAGTGACTTTATTGACACTTGTCTTGCTTGAGGACTTTTCTTTCGTTTGTCTACTGAAATTTGAGTTACTCATACTTCGGGCCTTGTTGCCTTCTTCAGTTTTGGCTGTATTTTCCTTATTTACTTTGTCCTTTATGTTTTTATAGCTATTTATCTTGCCTGTTCCCCTCACCGTGATTACAGTTTTGCAAGCCAGAGTTAGACTCTATTGACTTTCTTTGGCAGGAAGCTGTCCTGTAGCTGGATCATTTTTTCTTGTCCTTCTCTGGCCTTTCCTTATTGTATATACATATTTTTTTTAATATTAAGAAATGCATGCAAGATTTGGTATGTGGGTGTTCTCTGTGTACTTATGCAGTTGCCTACTGCAACTGGTTTGGTTTGGTTGTCTGTTTGGTTCTCTATTCCTTTCTAATAATTACTAACCCTGTGCTTGCCCTGATAGCTGGTTTAAGAAAGAAATAAAACCTGTCCAGTGTGATTTCAGCATCACCTTCCTGAGAGGTCATAGCTAATGTGGTTTTCCTCTGTGGATTAGCATACACTTACTGAAACTGCACTTCATCTACACCGCTTTACTTCCTAGGCAGTTATCACTGTGAAATCCTGGCAGTGGTTTTAGAGCTGAATGCTGCTTTTACATGCACTTGATCCTGCCAGTGCTTTGGCAGACCTGCTGGTTTGCGGTGTAACTGATGGCCTTAGCAAGTTGCTCCTCAAAGCTGACTTGTTTCCCAGTCAATTTATTATTTATGTATTACTTCTTAAAGTAAATATATTTTTGTTTATTCTGTAGTCTGCTTTGTTTTTCCACTTTTCGTGTGCTGTTCTTGGTGGAGAGCAGTAGAGCATTGTGAATAACTATTCAGCTCTCTGACACACTGTTTCATGTGCTGCTCTTGCTTCTGCTTTTCAGTGCTTGTTTTTTAATGCATTTCCCCCTTTTTCTGAAGCTAAATGGCCGTGTGCTGAAAGAATAGAGCTTAAAAGCTCCCAAAATGTTGAATAGAATTGTGAATGTGAATGACCACACTGTGGTCACTATCAGAAGATTGTTTGGTAGCTCGGTCCCGTGCTATTCAGATCATGTCCTGTTGTGTGATTTCCAGCTCATCTGGGAATCATTTGTTGTTTTCAGGCTTCAGTTCCTGCATGATGTCTCTGAGAAGACTGGTAAGCATTAGGTGGGAGAACTAGTCTCCCTCTAATATTATGTTCTACCTTTGTAGTAAATAGCACGTATAGCACAGACCCTATGCTAGCGCATGCAGGTGAATTGTCAAAGGCAGGAGTTGAGGCTCTGCTGCAAAGATTCCCTGGGCTTGGAACACCTTCTTGCAGCTATAGCAGATACTTTGCTCCCTTTGAGCTGTTCCTGATGACAGAGGTGGAAAGTAGAGTGTTGCTGGCCAGCTGAACCTACTCTGGGAATGCTTTCAAAAGCCTCAGTTAGTGCCTAGGTCATTGAGGCAATATTGATACCAACTTCAGCAGAAACTCCCTTCTGACACCAAAGCACAGCAGCTGAAATCTGATTTTGAAGCACCCTGGTTTATGCCTGGTTCCCAGGCAAGGCCCAAAGCAGATGTGTGATTCAGCATTGAGGGAGGCATACTCTAATCAGTGTGGTGAAGCTGCAGGAATGTCATGGCCCCTGGTCTTCCAGAAAACCCCAACTTCAGATCATTGCAGGACTTCTGTGTCCTTAGGCCTTCAGTGTTTGTCTGCAAGGTGCCCTGGAGCAGAACCTCTGGTTGTATTAGTGTCTCTCTCAGTATTCTGCATGTGACATCACTGTGAACATCAGCTTTTCGGTTGTCTTATTGTGAGTTTTGGAATACATTTTGCAGTAAAAGAGTTTTTTCAACTTTCTTTTTTTCTTCTCTCTGCAGGCTGATGAAGATCCTATCATGGGATTCCACCAGATATTTCTATTAAAGAACATCAATGATGCCTGGGTTTGTACCAACGACATGTTCAGGCTAGCACTGCACAACTTCGGCTGAGCTGGCAACCCTGAAGCACCCCAGCTTTATTTTTGTTTGTTCGGGGGTTTTTTTTTCTTTCTCTCACTGGTATTATTCACACTCACAGAACATTCCAAATATCATACACAAACCTGCAGCACTGCAGAGTGTGAGCAAAGCAAGAGCTGTGACCTGCCCTTCTGCTGAGTTTACATTGTCAGAGATGAATTTCTTGTGCATGATGTTTGGAAGTTAGACTTAGCTGCATTTGACAAGAGAAATTTGTGTTGTACCAGCATGCCTCAGAAAGAAGTAATAATGCAAAAGGTTGTTGCTATGTACTGACAAGATGCTCTATAACCCAAAGACATGAAAGAACAGCAGCCTGTACAGCCCAGATACTGATTTGTTCAGATGTTCCAATGCTACGTTACATAATAAAACCTTGAGATTTTCTTAACAGTTTAAATTGTTTTAGTGAGTTGGATATGGAGTAGGTGATAGTACTTGCTGTGGATGTTCTGTGTCTGCCTGGTGCGGAAATGATTACAAACTTACAACTCAGACTGGAGAGCACTTGAGAGTTGTACCACAAGAGGCAGTTCTGATATGCCCTTGGCCATACAAATTCTTTCCCCCTCCTTCCCAGCAGCTCTTATGACAAGACTTCTAGACAGGTTTGTTCTCATCTGCTGGATTTTACCAGGACAGATATTTCAAATAACACTCAAGGATGCCAATAGTCACAGCAGCCTCTTAAATCTTCATGACTGTCATTACATTCACCATCAAAGTCGAACAGGCCAGTTGTATTTTCTTCACAGGCAGGACATCATTTCACCACTGCCCTCCCGCAGTTTGTATCCAGCTCTGAAGCTCTGACTAGATCCGTGCTCTGCGGCGTTTTCTAAGCATCCATGCACTGTCAATGGAACTGGTTGGTAGTACAGCCTTTGCTTTGCTGGTTTCCAGGACGTAATCGGCTGTTGTGTGTCTTCCACCCTGGAGATGGCGGTGTTCCACCACTGTAGGAATTTACTAATAACAGAATGGCTTGGGTTGGAAGGAACCTTAAAGCTTGTCCAGTTCCAACCCCCTGCCATGGGCAGGGACACCTTCCACTAGACCAGGTTGCTCCAAGCCCCGTCCAGCCTGGCCTTGAACACTGCCAGGGATGGGGCACCCACAGCTTCTCTGGGCAGCCTGTGCCAGGGCCTCAGTACGTTCACAGGAAAGAACTTTTTCCCAAGAGCTCATCTCAGTGTCCCCTCTGTCAGGTTAAAGCCATTCCCCCTTGTCCTGTCCCTACAGGCCCTTGTCCAAAGCCTTCTTTAGGTTTCTTGTAGTCCTTTTAGGCACTGAAACTGTTCTAAGGTCTCCCTGGAGCCTTCTTCAGGTTCTGTCCAGCAGATGAGGTGGCACAGGAGCAGAACTGCCTTCACTTTTCCTTCAGATCTCCCTGAGCTCTTAAAACCCAATTTAAAAGGGATTAGTACACCTTGAGGGGCTTGCTTTTGAAGTTTATGACCATGGCATTACCTTTTTTTTTGAAGAAAGCCTGGAAAGGAGCATGCTCAACCCAGTTGTGATTCAAATCTGCCTGCTTTGGCCTTTGAATTGGAACACAGCTTTCTTGGAAGCTGATGTTAGGACCCTCCTCCTCACTGTTGCAGCATTCTTATATGTTCTCCAAATTCAGAACTGTTCTCCTGTTAGTGCTGCTAAGCAATAAAAGTTGTGTTCAAAATTCCTCACCTGAAGAGATCAGCTCTTCCAGTAGAAAGAGGCTTTTTGTGTGGTCACTGCTAAGCAAGGATCCTTGTGCTGGGGCTCTATTTCCAAATGGAGCCTGACAGAGGAGAGAGGACCTAGGAACCTTGCTCTGCAGAAGGATCCTTGCTTTGCAGAAGAATCACAGAGCAGAATGGTCTGCGACATCAGGTTATTCCTCCACATAACAAGCTCAGTAAGCCAGGGAGAGAGCTTGCTTAAAAGTCAGTTTAAAGGAATGATACACAGAGCAGGTGTTAGTTTTAGAACTATCTAAAATAAGATTCTTTTATGCCATTAAATCCAGCTGTCCTCTGGAATTGGCCATGTAGTTTGTTCAGGGATTCTTTCACCTGCCTTTCTCTACACAGTCACTCCTGGCTCCTTACTGGGATGAGATAAACACTGCTGTTTCTACATAAGTATTGGTTAATATTCTTGACACCTGCAGGTCAGTTTTGAGGCCCAGTGTATTTGCTCTTTTTGTTTCTGATGCCTGTGTTTAGTGCTAGGTCGAGCCCCAGTAGTCCCCTCAGAGCTGGTTGACCTGTGAGGGGGCGTGGCCAAAGTGGATGAGGCCTGGGAGGCCTCAGATCACTGAGCCCATAACCACCCTGCCTGAGCCTTCACAAGTGAGACTTTACATGTCCCTCATGGTGCTAGGCCTGTCAGCAGTTTGTATTGCTGGTACTCCCACAGGCATGGCCAAAGTTGGCTAACAAAGGAAGGGCTATGGTTGCTGTCTATCTGGACTTTTGCAAAGTCTTCACAACAGTCCCCCACAAAATCCTTCTCTAAACTGGAGAGATACAGATTTGATAGACTGGTGGATGAGGAACTGGCTGGATGGTCATATCCAGAGGGTCATGGTCAATGGCTCAATGTCTGGATGGATACCAGTGACAAGTGGCATTCCTCAGGGGTCCATGCATGGAGACCTCAGAGCAGCCTTCCAGTATCTGAAGGGGGCCTACAGGGATGCCAGAGAGGGACTCTTCATCAGGGACTGTTGTGATAGGACAAGGGGTGATGGGTTCAAACTGAAAGAGGGGAATTTCAGGTTGGATATAAAGGAGTTATTCCCTGTGAGGGTGCTGAGGCACTGGCACAGGTTGCCCTGAGAAGTGGTAAATGCTCCATCTGTGTCAGTGTTCAAGGCCAGGTTGGACAGAGCCTTGGGTGACATGATGTCGTGTGAGGTGTCCCTGCCCTGGACAACCCCCCTGGTAGGGGAATTGGAACTAGATCTTTAGTATTTTCTAACCCTAACTATTATTCAGTGATTCTACAATACTGTTTAATATCTTCATCAGTGATGACTGAGTGCATCGTCAGCAAGTTTGCAGATCATAGAATCACAGAATCAACCGGGTTGGAAAAGACCTTTAAGATCATAAAGTCCAACCGTTCTCCAGCACTGCTGAGGCCACCACTGAACCATGGCACTGATGGCCCCATCTACACGGTGTGTGAACACTTCCAGGGATGGTGACTCCACCACTGCCCTGGGCAGCCTGTTCCAATGCCTGAACACCCTCTGGGGAAGGTTTTCTGAATAGCCAATCTAAATGACAATCTAGTATCTACCTGACACGAAGCTGAGTGGTGCAGTTGACAAAGGGCCCATCAAGAGGGATTTGGACAGGTCTGAGAGGCAGGCCCATGCAAACCTCATGAGGTTCAATGAGGCCAAGTGCAGAGTCCTTCACATGGGTCAGGGCAAACCCCAGTATCAATACCTGCTGGGGGAACAAGGGATTGAGAGTTGCCCTGAGGAGAAGGACTTGGGGGTTCTGGTGGGTGAAAGACTGACGTGATCAGGCAATGTGTGCTTGCAGCCCAGAAGGTCAGTTGTATCTCGGGCTGCATCCAGAGGCGTGTGGCCAACAGGGCAAGGGAGGTGATTCTGCCCCTCTGCTCTGGTGAGACCCCACCTGAAGCACTGCGTCCAGCTCTGGAGTCCTCAGTACAGAAAACACATGGAACTGTTGGAGAGGAACCAGAGGACAACAAAAATGATCTGAGGTTGGGAGGAACGGCTGAGAGTGTTGGGCTTCTTCAGCCCGGAGAAGACTGGGGAGAAGTTACTGCAGCCTTTCAGTTCTAAAAGGTGCCTTTAAGAAATACAGGGAAAGACTTTTTAACAGAGTCTGTGTGACAGGATGAGGGGTGATGGTTTTAAACTGAAAGAGGGAGATTCAGGCTGGGTGTGAGAAAGAAATTCTTTACCATGAGGCTGCTGAGGCGCTGGCACAGGGTGCCCAGAGAAGCTGTGGCTGCCCCATCCCTGGCAGTGCTCAAGGCCAGGTTTGATGAGGCTTAGAGCAACCTGGTCTAGTGGAAGGTGTCCCCGGCCGTGGCTGGATGAGCTTTCAGGTCCCTTCCGGTACAGATCAGGCTGGGATTCCACGAGATGCCTCGAGGGGCCCGGAGGAGGCCCTTGAGCCCTGCAACAACTTCCTCCTTTGCCGGGCCCGGTTCCGATCCCGGCGCCGCTTTCGCTGAGGGGAGGGACCGAGCTGGGGCTCTTCCCCGCGCCGCACCCGGAACCCTTTATCCCGGCGACGGTTTCCGCCCGGCGCATTAGGAGTCGGGCCGGAGGCGGAAGCACAGGCGGCGGGCAGGGGTAGCCCGGCGGCTGTGGTGCGGGAAACCGGGCCGGGTCGGGCAGGCCAGGCCAGGGGACGGGACGGCTGCGCTGCTCCGGTGCGCCGCGCGGGCCGGGTCCCATGGCCTCCTCTTCCAGCATCGACATTGAGGACGCGACCCAACATCTGCGGGATATCCTCAAGCTGGACCGGCCGGGAGGTGAGGGGCCGGCAGCGGGGGGAGCGGGAGGCCGCCGGCTGCGGGCCTGGACGGGGCGGGGCCGCCGCGTAGAGCTAGGGCCGCGCTGCCTTGTGCCGGGCCTGCGGTACTCTCCCAGTCAGGGCCTCGTTTCCCTTCAGGGTGCAGGGGCCATCGCCTTCCGCTGGCTCCCCCTCGCCCAGGGCGAGGGACCTGCTCCGCCCTGCCGCTGCCCCCGAGGTGTGCTTGGGGAGTGCAGCCGGGCGAGGAGAGGAGTAGAGATCCGGTGTGAGGGGCTTCACTGGTGCGGGAGGATTCTGGTGGCTGAGCAGAGCGGAGCAGTCGGGACACAAACCTCGCTGCTGCTGCTGCGGGTCTCTGGGCTCTTGTTGTCCGAGGGGTGTCGCCCTGGAAGCTCACAGCGCTGACCTTCTCCACCCAAGCCTTCCTCCGTTAGTAAGAACACTTTTGAGTTTTCCCTAGGTGTCTTCGCTGGGCTCAGTGGAAGGAGCTGCCAGGCCTCTCTAGGATCAGTGCCATCTTAATCATAGAACCCTGGAATGGTTTAGGTTGGAAGGGACCTGAAAGCTCATCCAATTCCAACCCCCTGCCACAGACAGGGACACCTTCCACTAGACCAGGTTGCTCCAAGCCCCTGTGTCCAGCCTGGCCTTGAACACTGCCAGGGATGGGGCAGCCACAGCTTCTCTGGGCACCCTGTGCCAGGGCCTCAGCACCCTCACAGGGAAGAACTTTCTACAGGCTTTTCATTCACAAATATCTCTTTTAAAATGGTTGTGATTGTTCTCCCTTTGCTTTGCACTGTTCTGCTTCTCTGCTGAGAGTTCAGTGGGCTTCCTTCTGCCTATAAAACACTTGTGGTGAACAGCAGCAGGCTCAGGAATCAGCTGT